TATATATATATATATATATATATATATATATATATATATTTGTGTTTGTATATGTGTTTGTGTATATATATATGAATATATATATATATATATATATGTGTGAATGTGTATGTGTATGTGAATGTGAATATGTATATGTGTATGTATTTTTAAAATGTATATGTGTATGTGTATATGTATTTATGTGTATATATATGTGTGTATATGCGTATATGAAAATATATATATATGTGTGTATGTGTATGTGAAATGTATATTTGTATGTGTAATATGTGTATATGAATGTATGTATATATATATATGAATGTATATATGTGTACATATAACATATAAGTTTTATTTAAATTTTAAAAATGACGGATTTTTCCGTCGCTATATAATTGTTTTTTTGTATAGTAATTGTAACTTAACAATTAAACATATTTTTTTAATACTCGACAGTCGACATATATTTTTTTAACCGGGAGGTTCACTTGGGCCTTCGCCCCAACCTGCATCCCATGGACTCGGGAACAGTATTTAAAACGCACCTAACCACGTCTCACCCTCTCACCCCGTGGCTCGAGAATGAGACCTGGGACAGGGAGCCCACGACCACCCTCTCAAACCAGCTACATCACATCGGTGACGACTTCATGGAAAGAGACGAAATTAAATAACGGTTCTCCCTCCCCAATTCGAGATCGAACGTTTGACGACAACATGAGTCCATTAGGCCTTTTAAACTCATCACATGAGTCTAATCGATTTCTCAAATCGACTCACCTTATCTAACATCAAGTAAAGTCATTTAAGGAAGCACTAGGGCGCCTGATAGAAGAACTCAGAATTGAATACAAACCTATCAAATTATAAAACCTATTGTGATTCCCAAAACGCAATTTGTTTAGCAAAGAATTAAATGTGCCTTTGCATTTCGTGATTGCAGAAGACAAGTGCTAAGATATACAGACAAAGACTCCGCTAGTAGGCATGTTCAATGAAGCGTTGAGTTTGCTGATGTAACTAAGGGTGAATCCGCGATGAACGGGACACCGTTTCAGGATGAGATGGAGTTTGTCGAAGGTTGTTTAGCATTAATGGTGATCCTCTGAAGCAAATAGAGGATTTCCGGATCTATCTGGTTTACAACTGAAACCCCGATGATTGATCGGTTGAGGACATTACAACAGGAGAGCGAAAACGCAGCGTTTAGGTCGGGGTGGATAGTGAAGGAGGGTAAGACGCACATTTAACAACCAAAGTCATAGCTAGGTTAGGGTACAGGCGCAACATATAAGTTGTAATTCGACTAAAATCATAGGTCCAAAGGCAAAGTATAAAAGCTATTTGTTGTTGGCCGATTACACATTTCACAAGAAAAAACGAAAGGCAGCGAATAAACCAAATTAGTTTCTTCGAAAACGCATGATACGAAAAAGTATATAGACTACGCAATGCCGTACAAACATGCAGATAAAGGAACCATCTTTTCACGACGACATCCTCTCTCGCTTCAAAGGGAGACAAAAGTCCGAAGAGATCCGATTCTCCGACAAATTAACCCTAACTCTTCACCACTTTTTTTTTTCTCTAAATTATTTTTGGATTTTTCCTCCTTTTTATTTCCACCTTTTTTTTTCTTTCTCTTTGACAAGGATTTTAATGCGGAGCTGGTTTTCTCCAGGCAAAGATCTTTCGTTTTTTTTTTTTTTGGTTAACGACGAGATGTTTTGTCTATCAACTCGCTCGTTCCCTTTCTTGTTCATCAAACTTTATTACAGAGAGATTACAAATTTTTTTAATGAAATTTGGGTATATTTCTCAAAAAGGGGTGGTACATAGTCTAGGATCCCCGATCCACACTTGAAGCTTACGCTATTCGACCCTTACAAAGGAATACAGTACAAACTCATACATGGCTTATAATTACAAATCTCGGTTCAGATTGAGGGAGTACCACTGCTGGAGGAGTTCGTTGCTTTTGCAGTCGCGTTCCTGCGGGAGCGATAAAAGTGTGCTTCGTACTGATCGATCTAGACGATGTCGGAGCAGTTGTGCAGTGGTGGCAGAGTCCTGGAAGATGCAACAAAATATTTATTTTATTGAAGCCTAATCAACCCATTTCAATTACTATAACATTACAGAGGTTATTTACAGATCGGGACTTTGTTCAGGACGATCATTCAAACCGGAGCTAGAGATGATATTAAGTGAAAAAAAAAGGAGATTAAGGAGATGATTAACGATGGGGTTAACATCAACGTTGAAGACATTGAGCACGTATCATAGCTTTGATTCGTGGCGCAATTCAAAAGGTGATGTTAGCTTTTGGCCCAACAAAAAAAAAGATAATTTCATAGCGAAAGCATTGGAATCTTCGGTTTCGTTCGTCATTTGATGTGATTCGAATTGGATCGGCAGCAACGCGTTTTGGCTTTTCACATTCAACTTTATGCAATTGAATCAATCAAAGCTTTCGTTATTTCAATTTAAAACTGATATTATCAAACATACATAAGGAGTTTCTTTTCCTATTTTTATTTTAAAAACAAATATTATATACATACATATGCATATATTTTTTTATTTGAATTGATTTGATACAAAAATAGTTTGATTTGATTGCAAATTAAAGCAATTGGAGTAACTAACCACGTGTATTGCATGGTAAAGTGCATGTGGAATTTTAGTAATGGACGCGTCAAAGACATCTAAACTATTATACACTCGAAGAGCCATAACGCTAGGGTTTTGATGGGTACGCGGAAATAATGGTTTAACTTTAAAACGAATTATTTATTAGATGAGCACATCTAAGATACTATATGTTTCAGCAAATTTTGATTATTCGATATTCTTTTTTTAAGTAAATTATTTATGAAGAAAATACGAATTTTAAAGCGACAAATTAATAACAAAACAGATAATATAAAAACAAAAGATATTAAAATTAATATTTACGGGTGATTATGTTAAGACTAATATTAATTAATAATCTACTTTTAGTTTTAATGATAATATTAGTTATTATATTTGAGGGATTTTAGAACACATGTGAATTGCACTGCAGTCGCCTTCAAGAGACCCCATATTCAAGATTTTTTAAAAAACAAATAATGTTTAATAATTTTTATATTGATAAACATTTAAAATTTGTTATCATTTTAATATTTTTAACTTTTATTTAAAAGTAAAACTAAAAAACTCATCGCAATCTTTTTAGCCCAATTTTTGAAAAAAAATCATTTTCTCTTTCCATGTTGAGCATTCCGCATCCAAATATCAATATTGTACAAGTTATTGAATATTTTTTCTAATTTTTATAATTTCTATCATTATTTTTTATAAAAAATTATCATCCATTTTAATTTTTATTATTTAACGTTATTAACAATAATATTTTCACTTGTATTGTACATTTAATTTTTTAATTCAATATCAATGAAAAATAGATTCTAATGGTATGAGAGATTTAGATTCAATTTTTTTTTGTTAAACAAATAAAAAATATAAGTTCATATAACAAAATAGTATTCACGTGTTTTGGAGGAAAAATCAAATCTAACTTTTTATATATAGAATTTTGATATTAAATTTAAACTTTTCCAAGACATTCAAATTCCTTTTAAGAAAGATAATATTTTAAATAACCAGCCACTTACCTTTTTAAAAGTAAATTTGAAGAAAAACTTATTCAAAGTCTCAGTAGGATTATTTCCATATTAGTTTTTATAGCTCAAAATTTTAAAATTTATAATATATATATATAATTTAGTATCTATTTTTTTTCGTGAATCATTTATTCTCTTATTTTTTATGTCTTATTTATATAATGTACAGCCAAACAAAATAGAAGAATTTTGATTAGATTCTTTTAATAAGTATTACAATATCAGTATTAATTTTGAGATAAAAAATGCATAAAAAGATAAGATATTCCAAATATTTTTGAAAGTATTAACACATCCATAAAAACAGTTCTATATTCTATATTCTACTTTAGTCTTAAATAAAAAAATATGTTTTTAATTATTTAACTTAATCAATTATAACTTATTTTTGACTGGATTATATTACAAATATTAAGGGTTCCAATTAACATGTCACTCCTTATTTGGACTAAAGGTACTTACCTCCGGGATTCAAAAAATATTAAGTTCCAAAATCTACAAATATCTAAAGGTTAAATGAAATATATAGATTACTAACTATAATACAATAGTATCTTTTGAAAATATATGATAGGAAAAAGAATAACGCGAGAGAGAGAGAGAGAATATTAAGTTGAAACAAAGTCCAACATTTGAGACAATATTTTTATAAAAAATTAGATTATTTTATAATATGCTTGACAACATAAAATATTAAAAGAAAAAAGAAAAAAGAAAATGAAATGTTTGCTTGTAGACCTATGCCTGGAGTAGATGATGACTCTAAATTAGCTTTTCAATTAAAGTAATAATAATAAGGAATCTCTAACAGTTGAATTTGATTTTTGAACGGACGTAGAGAGACGGCCCACTGACCTCCCCATCTGTTGCAAATAACGAGACGAATCTCTCACAGTTTGAAGTGAAACTTTCAATTTGGGAACTTTAATTTAATTTAATATTATCTCTACTAACCTTTCGAATATAATCATTAACATCTTTTGTCTATTAATAATGGAAGCTACCTTTATATTGACGAATAAACATAAAATTTGTCGCTGTAAAATTTATTTAACTCAATCGAAATTAGGGATGGACGTTTTCGGTATTCGGTTTGAGAATGATTCGTTTCGATTCTTTCCATTTTATAAAGATTCAATTCGATTTGTTTCGGTTCGGTACGATTCAGTTCCCGCACCTCACCTAATGGAAACTTGACAAATTACAATTGCTCTTCTCTCTCTCATATTTACATAGAGTACATAAAATGAGTTGTAGCGTTTGACAACGCTATTGCATGTCCAATTTCCTCCGGACTATGAAATGGGCCGAAGTTTTACAAGCATGTTAGTAGCCCATTTTAGACCACGTGCTAAATTTTCCCAAGAAAACGCAAGTAAATATTATTTTACCTTGGGAAAAAAATATTATTGGAGAGATTTTCCCGGGCTTAGAATTAATTAGGGTGGGCGAACGCTTCAAGTTCGATTTATTTGCTAACGGTTAATTTGGATTTGATTATTTCGTGGTTTGAAAATTTATAATGAAAAGGTAATTTGATTTTAATCGGTTTCATTATTTAATTATTGTAATCAATTAATAACCAAATCAAATTTCAATTTTATTCGATTCCGCTATAATAGTAAATAAATCAAATTTCGCAACATTATCCAAGAAAAATGTAAAAAGTCTGGTTGTATACTATAATTATAAAAATATATGAACAATTCTATGAAATAGATTTTTCTATTTTGATATATTATATATTGCATATTAGTCGGCAATATATTGCTGGACTTCTTTACCAAAAAAATATATCTATATATTAGTGGACTAACGGTTTGATTCGATTTATTCGGTTATTGATTAATTTGGATTCGATTAATTCGAATTTTGAGAATTGGGTTTGGCTCGGGCTGAATTTTGTGACTGAATCTTGGATTTGTTATTGGTATCAAGTATATTCAATCGATCATTGATAACTAATGATGTCACTATGATAAGAGTCCACGCCCATTTTGTATGTAAATTTGTAATATGCGATTTTTTAATTTTATGAATTATAACAGCGGGCCTCAAATCAGCGAAAGCCTGATTTTATTATAATACAAGCGAAATGTGCCGATTTCGAAAATCACTTTTTTACTAATATGTTCTCCTTAATTCTAGTGGATATATATATACACAGCCATATATATATATATATAACTATCGGCACAGGCTAGGGGTGGCCAATTCGGGTTTCGGTTCGGTTATATTCGGGTTCGATTATTTCGGTTATAGAAAAACTATAACCATTCGGTTTTTATATAAATTCCGGTTCGGTTCGGTTATTTTTCGGTTCGGTTTTGATAAAAAGTTCAATTTTCCAAAGAAATTGTCGGTTATTCTCTCGGTTTTTTCGGTTATTTTTTATTCGGTTCAGTTCGGTTTCGGTTTTTCGGGTTTAAGGAAATCATAACCGTTCGGTTTTGATGTCGGGTTCGGTTCGGATACGGTTATATCTTATTCGGTTCGGTTCGGTTATTCGGTTAATAACCGAAATGGCCACCCCTAGCACAGACAATAGACCGAAAAATAATAATGAGGTCAAATATTTCTTTGTTTTTTTTGAAGATGTCAAATATTTCAAAACCGACAAGTCTGGAAAATTGTGTAATCCGTCAAAACTTTTGGAATACGAAAAAGCAATTCGATTTACAAAAAGTGAATCGCATTTATTTTTTTATTGCAATATTTGATATATATATATATATATATATATATATATATATTCCGTTTATTACTCGCTTTTTCTTCTTCTTGTTTCGTCACAAAGCAACAACGTTCTCATTTGTTCCAGAGGCTAATCCCCTTCCCTTTCTGCGTGGCGTTCGCCATTTTCTTAGAAAATTAAATAAAACTAATGTTACGAATCGCGATATTTTTTATCATTGAATCGAATAGCATAATTCAGTCCAAAACCCTAACGAAACGCTATTATACATTACGCTATAAGGTTCGTACAGATCATTTCACTTAAAGGGCTGGCTAGTGATGAACAGCATGTTACACAAAAATATCTTCAAATACACTTAAATTGGCTCCCTTTGTTTGTTATGCTCGTTGTTAAGCTTCGATTGCGTTGAAGAACAGCTCTGCATTGGAATGATTCAGATCTGCAATGACTGTATTGGTCAGAATAAACCGTCGAATTATGTTATGTACATTAATTGCAAGTTATAATAAGCTTTTTAACCATATTTGGTGATCACTACATTCATTAGATATCCAAAGCTTATACCCACATACTATGATGTACTTGAACATTATCCAGTGGGCAAAGGTGGATAAGGTTGAGTGTCTTTCAACATGCGCGTATGTGTATGTGTGTATGTATGCATATATATATATATATATTAATTTTAACAGATAAATGTGCATTTGTTAACTAGTTAAATAAAAAAGGATAATGGGATCAATTTAACCAAATGGTTGATTACAACGCGAGTGATTCAAAAAACTAAAAAAACAAAATTGAAATCAAAGTTCTCTGCACAGTCGGGGAAAAAAAGGCTCTCAATCAACTAGCGAAAGAAACAAAAACAAGATATTAAACAAATATGCAGATTCCTTTCGCTAATCTCTGAGACAAGCTCACTGGATGTTTCGAGGACGGACATGATCCACGAAACCCTAGTTACGTAGTAAGAGAAAGAATTAGTTGGGTCGAATTAAGGTTCAGATCTAAGAGATCTGGGTGTTGGATTAGAACCAGACAGATCTGAGGAGGAACCAGACAAATAGACCATCATCGTGACCATAATATGAGATCTAGATCTTAGGTTAATAACGCTCTGACAGCAAGCAATCATGACAAAATCATAGCGAAGAGAAAACGTGAGAGAAAAAAAGGATGTAATGATGAACAACTTTTCTGCATCTCACAGGGGGGGGGGAGGAATAGAAAGTCAGATTCCCTCATCATTACCCCAATCTGCAACACATACAAAACCCACCTGATTTTTTTTTGTTTGGTCTCCAAAGAACTCGAACGCCCACCATACAAGCCCTCTTTTTCCCACCCTGAAAATCAGTGGCAAAAAAATCCGAATTCGATAAAGGAAAAGTGATAAAGTTCAAACCTTTACATATGGATTCCCAGATCGAAACCCTAGAACGAGGCGGCAGAAGAAGGTACAAGGAGAAATAATTGGGGGGAATGAAGCCTGGTCCGACGACGCTGAAGCCCTTATCAGATCTCGAATCGAATCTCCGATTAGGTGTAAAAAAACGGAGAAACGATGCCATGGAGAAGAAGAGCAGAGTCCTCGAGCCAGACAACATTCCCCTCAAAAGAGAAACCCCCTTCAATTATTCCATCAGCAAACTAATCTCTAGGGTTTTTTATTTAAATCTCCCTCTTATCTCTTCCGCCCCCCATGAGACCCGGCTGAGTCCAAGGGGAAGAGAGAGAGAGAGAGAGAGAGAGAGAGAGAGAGAGAGAGAGAGACTGTGGTGATGAAGGGAGAAGTGATGATGAAGGGAATGATGAGAGGAAAAAGGGGGTTTTATGAAGAAAGTGAGAATGTGGAGAACCAAAGCTATAAAAAAGACAAAATCATGGGTGCCAGACCCCACACCGATTGTGACCACGACCCCTCTCTCTCTCTCTCCCTCTCTCCCTCCACAGATATATACACACACATACATACAATGTATATACGTATATATGCCTTTTCAAGTTTCAAGATCTCACAGTAACATTGGATTTACTTTTTGAGACATATCACTGGATTCCCATTACTGTGTTATTACTTGTTCAAGGAAATTTTCAAAAAAAAAATCATATTTATCCCATTCTTCTTCTTCATTTGCTTCCTTCTGTTTAGTACATTATTTGTTATATGTGACAGTGTTATCATCTGTTATATTATGTTACAAAGAATAAATTGTATCAAGTACCACTGGAAAAACTTTCAACCGTTGTAGTTTTTTTTTTTCTGAATTCCCCACAATTTTATAATTCATAATGTTGGGACGTGTATTAGATAATATTTTATGCACATAATAATCATAATCTCTGCAAACATGTTACAATATTTCAATATGATAAATCTTATATCATTCAATTTACATACAGAAGATATATATATATATATCTCTAGCAAATTCAAACCATAAGAAACCGAACATTGGAGTAATTAATTTGGGGCGAAATTGAATATCGATAACAAGTAAAAATAACGGAAATGGGAATGAAAAAGAAAAATAATTGAAAGGTGGAGAAGGAATCATAAAGGAAAAGGAGGAGGGTCTGTGTGTAAAGTGAGTCAGGGGAGTGGTTGAGTTATTGATCTGCCCGATATTAGCATCCCGCATTTATTGTCCTCCACCTTTTTTTTCCCTTTCATTTTATTTTTTAAAGTTTATTATTGCATTGCCACCATTATTAATTTCGCCCTTTCATTCAAATTTTCAAACTTTTGCAGCATTACACCTCTCCTCTACTTTAACAACGATTATTTTTTTATGGTCGTAATTAATTTCTATATTTGGGGTTTCCGGATCGTCGTGTCGCTGGCCCGTTTTCATGGGCGACTCTTTGTGGTTTAGGTCAAACCCAACAACCCCTCCCTCTCTCTCTCTCTCTCTCTCTCTCTCTCTCTCTCTCTCTATACCTTTTTCACGCCGCTTAATATATAATATTGCTTCGTTTATTTACAAATATGAATATGCATTTTCATTTTCCAAATTCCAATCGTTTTTATCGATGCTGTCAGATTCATATTTTCTTATATAAATTCGAATAATTGAAGACAAATGCGTTGCGAAAAAAAAATTTGTATCTTGATCTACACCTGTATCCGGAATCTTGATATAGTCCCTTCATTTCATAATAATTATTAACGTTTTAATTTTTTTTAAAAAACTGTAAGAAATAATATATACATTTATGTAATAGATAAAATATATTTAATATTCATTAATTTATTGGAATTTATTAGTTTTCATTAAAGATAAAATTAAAAATTATTTTAAGAATTTACATAAAAAACTAGTATAACATCCATTTAAAAAACAAAAAATTTTACCTACCGATTAAGAAATGGAGGGAGTAACTTATGTATCAATAATTACGGAGATAAGTCACATATAACGGAGATGAAAGTCATCAAAGTGTATATAACGGTCGACGTTAAGTTAATATGGAAGAAACCAATTAAGAATGCTGTAATTATTATTGTTAGGGCTTATGATTTTCATGCAAAACACATAAATGAACTGTCAGTTATGTTTCTTACGCAATAATTAAGCTCAGCAAAATCCGTGGAGAAAAAGTTTTATCTATTATTTTTAAACCTTACACAGTTTCATTTTCTAATTCCATATATTTATTATTGAGAAATATCGAGGTAATCAATTATTTATACGTCAGAAGCGTTTTTCGTGAGTTTTTCTTTTTACCAACCTATATAAACAGTTGTGTGTCTAGCGCCTCATAAATCATTACTAAAATTATATAATATAAGGTCTATGCGGTGATTAGCACTTTATATAATATATATAACCAAACAGCTGGACAAAAAATAATTGCCGTATTGAAGAACCCTAATTAGAAACCACGTTTAGTGTTTTTCCTGTTAGTGTTTTGTCCGATTACTTTAGATTCCGTAGGATCGTTATGCATATATATGCATATGTATGTATACGGAATTATGTATATATATGGACCGTTGCGGTGCAATTTAATAAAGAAATGCATTAATGTCTTTATATTATATACATTTGGTACATCAATACAGTATTACAGGCGGGATAAAATACGATAATTTATTTTTAAAAGCGTAGAGTGCCCGCGACATGTGCTGCAACATTTGTTAGTTTGCTAATGTCCAAGAAACCACATGAATTCCCGCTGTTAATACGTACGTATATGTTTCTGATATATGTACATAAATATGTACGTACGTACGTACGTGAGAGAATACGTATACTGTGCATGAGAATGACAAATGGAGAAGACGATTCTGGCTTCAGATTTCAACGTTTTGACAGTCTTCGAGAGTTGTGTCTGAGGGAGTAGAGAGAGAGAGAGAGAGAGAGAGAGAGAGAGAGGAGAGAGAAACAAGACGTGAATGTCAAATCCCTGCATCTCCGAACCCACGTTGTCGATTCTCACATTCCTTTATTTTATTCAAAAAATTTAATTGAATTTTTATTTCTGCTCACTAAATTAATCTTAATAGTTAAACCGTCGAGACTCATTTGCTCCACTGTTTTCAAATGGTTTCACATCTTAGATTGTATTGTACCCCCTCATGACTAATTCAAATCACTTTGAAACATCATGTGTTTAGTTATCTTAATCATGAATTAACATTTCATTATACCATGATTAGATACGTGTGTAATGATGCTATCATATGTTCTAGTCATCTAGAAAATTCGGGGTTTTTTTCGCATGAAATTTTTCAGATATTTATACCATGTTTTTTGTTTGATTGATTCAAGGAAAGAAATTGGTCAAAGTTTTCTAGGCAATTGGTATTTGAAAACAAATGTCATAATTTAGCCTATTGTATTGAATCGTAAGGAGATAATGGAGCAGGTTTTATGGTTGCTTTGTTTTTTATTTATTATCAAAATATATATTCAACTTATTTTCTTAATAAAAATGACTACATTTTTCGAACTAAAAAAGCTTGAACTGTCGATAACGATGAATGAGTTTTAATTTTGTTTTTTTTTACTATTCGATATAGAGAAAAATAAAATAAGAAAGGGGGGTTCAATTTCAAATTATACTAGTAATTAAAATAACACCAAGAAACTCCAATCGTGTTTAGCTATTTCTTATTAAAAAAAATAGGAGGAAATTAAGTATTTAATAATGATGGGAAAAAATAGATAGGGGATAGCATTGTAATTAGCGAGAGATGAATGAGGAGTACAACTCATTGAATGCCCTCTTTCTCTTTGTTCGTATTCTCTGTCTTTCATTAATTTCTCCTGATTCCAACTCATCTTCTTCACTTTCTCTCTCTTGGGGGGTCAAAGCAGAAAGGCCCGGAAAATAATTCATGGCGATTATAATATTCAACCATCTTTTCATATATATATATACATATATGTATACACATTATGATTTAAGATGCAACCTTTTTAAAACTTAAGATTGAAGGGGGGGGGGGAAGACTATTCAATTTCCGTATTAGATGGTAAGTGAAATATAATAATTTGTTAAAATAGAAGGAAAACGTGAAAAACGAAATAAGAAAAAAAGTTACATGTGTGGAACTCAGGCTACACCATTTTTAGCTCCTAAAGTTATATGAGACCCATTGATGGAACCGAACCCCTTCTTGTCAACATTACTGTTGTTTTTACCTACATCACCCTCTTTAACCCTTTTATTTACTTATTTATGCATATATACGTGTATATATATAAATTTTAAATGTTTGAATATAATTTTGTTAGGAACGATATTAAAATATTGATATTAATAATTATAATAAGAAAAAATAAAACTATATCATGACATCTTGGTCTCTTGAGAAAAAAGATAAATGATTTGTGATTGTAGAATTAAAACTGCAAAAATTTGAAATGTTAAATGTCTCCTTTCTTGAATTTTTATAGTATATTAGTTACAGATTAAAAATAATAATTTATTTTTAAATGTTTTAGATAAATTGTTTAATCATTACGAGTTTTAAGAAATCTTTAGTTTGTATCAGTTATATTTATATATTCGATTTTAATTTTTTAAAATATTTTTTATTTTAGATTTTAAAGACTTTAAGTTAGAGAACAAATAAAATTTTATCTCTTCATATTCTATCACAATTATAATCTTTTAATAATTATATATCCATTATTGATAATTAGTTTGATTAAAAAAATCCATAAAGTTTGGGGTCTCGTGCACATGCTATTAGACGGTAGTGTCTATATATATATGTATATATTACTTCTGTACACTCGAATTGACGTTAGATACATTCTAGTAGTTGGGCCACTGTCGGCTGCTTGAACATTAAACGGGCTGAAAAGGGCCATCAACATTGCGGATGGGCTGTCCGAACGATCCAATAAGAACAAAAAAAGAATTTTTTTAATTAAAAAAAAAAAGGAAATTTTACTTTTTGAGTTTTTCTGTTTTCTGTTTTAGGTAATAATAAAAATTTGAATTCTCAACGTTGGGTTTATAGTTTAGTGCGGATGGATCATCTATTAACTGTTAGTTTTTCTTTAGATAGTTGATAGAAAAACAAAGGAAAGAAGATGGTCAATTAATTGGTTTGGTAATGGAAGTGGATCGGGACCTAAACCCAAACGAGGCACGTGACAAATAAACAAACCCTTGTGTGTTATAAGATGGGTCGGATCCAAAATCAACGGCTCGGGTCCGACCAGGGCAAACACCATCTCACCTAAACTTGGGTTTCGGCGTCCTACTATCGTACGTACGTGTCCAATATATATTTTTTTTTATGGTCAGGATAGTTCTCCGGACCTTCGATCCGACCATATCCATCATAAGTCGGAAACAGTCTTTATATATGAATTATTTTGGTCCAGAAATTACATACCTCTCTACCAATAGAATCGAATTCAGAGTTTTAAGGATGACTTTGTCACTTCTCAACCACTGGACCATCAACTGTTGGGTTTGTCCAATATTTGCACAGTTGAAGGAAACTATTTCATTTCCATGCAACTATTTTAAGAAAAAAACAATCTAAATATAGTAAAGATTGCGATATCCACCAATATAAATTGGAAATTTCATAAATATATTCTAGATTTTTAACTCCAATAAAAAAAAGTTAGATAAATGTTAGGATTATATCGTCTTAACAAACCTCGGAAACATTGAATAACTCCTTATATATATTGTTAATGTTTTACTTCTTATAATGTTCGTCGTTAATTAAGAATATGATGAAACAAATCCAAGATTTGGTGGTTCAATTGATAAAGGATGGAACAAAACTTATTCTTAACCAAGATTCGAATCTTCATTTAGAGACGGTTGACATGGGTTTTTTTTCAGAATTTTAAATGTAGTTTGATCGAATAGGTGAACTTTCGAACTATTAAAAAAAAAATAGGATGGAACCCTTTGTGTTCAGATCATATCTAAGTGAACAAAGCATGTCTGTATGGATAAGTATATTCCGTACTGTAGATATGTTCCACGTAGGGGTGGCCAATTCGGGTTTCGGTTCGGGTTCGGTTATTTCGGTTATAGAAAAACTATAACCATTCGATTTTTATATAAATTCCAGTTCGGTTCGGTTCGGTTATTTTTCGGTTCGGATTCGGTTCGGTTTTGGTAAAAAGTTCAATTTTCCAAAGAAAATGTCGGTTGTTTTTTCGGTTATTTTTTATTCGATTCGGTTCGGTTTCGATTTCGGTTTTTCGGGATTAAGTAAATCATAACCGTTCGGTTTTGATGTCGGGTTCGGTTCGGATACGGTTATGTCTTATTCAGTTCGGTTCGACTCGGTTATTCGGTTAATAACCGAAATGGCCGCCCCTAGTTCCACTCAGGGAAAAGCAATAAAACGACCACTGGTTACATATACTACGGATAAAATTCACGTCGTATCATTCACCGTCCTTGTCAACTCCTATCTTTTTGTTTTTTTTGCCCCCTTATTTTCTATTATTTTAATTAAATTGTTTTAATTTAGGTTTTTTTTTGTTGCAAATGTTTATTTATTTTGTAAGAAAAAAAACGAGCTGCTTTTTCCCAATTGCTTTAGGGTAGCAGTTGAAGGAGTAGGGTAAGATTGTTGGCCATTAGAGTTGCATGCGATAGAGATAATATAAATTATTATATTCCTTTTGATGATAATTATATATAACTATTGATAACGTCGAAGAAATTGACCAGAGTGCTTCGGAATTTTTATTTTCCTAAATTAAAAATTAAAATTAACGTTTTGGCGGTGAAAAATGTGCTATATAAATCGTTTCGACCAGTTTAAAATATTTTAAACGTAAGATTCTGACAAAGCCTTTTATATTATCAGAACAGGAGCTCGCTCAAATGCACGTAAAATAAAAATACTTGAGATTTTTATATTTTATGATTATAACTAAAATTCATATCTTTGATAGTATTAAATAAAAGTTCTGAAAATCTAAAATTTATATAGAAAATGTAATACTGTCAAAAATTTAGAGGGACACGCGTTTTTAGGTGAGGAGATTGTAAGGAAGACCGAACAAGACAAGGCACCTATTTTTTTTTTTACAAAGAAACCAAAATATTAAATTTTGCAAAGGAATTGTCATCTCATACGGCTCTTGTAAAAAACAAAAAAACCCACGATATTTATTTCACCCGACACGTGGATTTTTGTCGAATAAAATTTCCGGGCACAACCACAAATCGACCGCCACGTCAGCAAGATCAACTTGTCATTCCCAAACAAGTGGCACTTTCTATTGGTTGATTTCGACAGCTTCCTCTCTAAAATTCTAAATCTCACTCATTAAAATTCTATATTATGAAATAAACATATTTCTTCTAATCGAGCCACGTTTGAGGAAAAAATAAAATAAAATATTCGCAAACTTCTTAATGATTTTAATCTGATCCGTGTTTTACAATCAATTTATGAATAATTTAGAAATTAGAGAAAAATGTAAGTATTTCGTATATGATTATATAAAGGCGCCGTATAATATGTTACAGATGGTCCGATGCAATTTGTTGGTGTGTTTAATTAGTCAAAAGAGATTTCCGACAAGCAAGGTGAAACGTAACCTTAAACTAATCACAAAACATAAAAAGTTTCTTTAAGAGAGTAATCATAATATTTGGTTGCTTTTAGAAAAAAAAAACTAATGAACGATATTTATTTGATAATTTTTTAAAAAAATATCAAAATAAAGCTTTTATAATAACTGAAATTTGCAACGAATTTCAACAAGTGATATTTTTGAAATTTAATATTACTAAGATGCGTTTGGGTCAAACTTGTACACATTAAAACGGGTTAATTTTCTGTCGGTAGAACGTATACAATCTAATACGTTAGTAGATATTCGCAGTTATAATCTATGGTTAATATTGATTTTTTAACAAGGTTTAAGAATTCAAAATATTGGTTAATATTGATTTTTGGATCATAAACAATTAATAGAACGTTTAGTTACGCAATCTATATCATATATAATAAAAATGCCTAAAGCTGCATTGATTCAAATAAATTTAAACATGCATACATTTCATGTCATTAATTTTCGGTTCCCTTTCAATAAATATGATAATCAAATACATCAACAATCGATGACAAAAAAAAATCTATATTTATATAGTTGTATTCCATTTTAAAATCAACAAATGTCATAATTATTTTGGCGCGTTACTAAGTTCAACACGTGGATTTTAACCGTCTTGTAACTTATATGTGCGACTAATTAATAAATCTACATTGTAACTATCTGACCGCCCACAGAATTTTTTTTTGTTACGATGGGAAACTCCTATCCTACAACCCTTCGGGTCGGACACCGCACACTGCAACGCCTCTCAACCCATGGGTCGGACGAAAACGGTATCAGGACAATATCGCTGATCTGAGAAAACCCACCGGCACGCAGAGCAGGTAAACCAGCCTCGTAAAGCTGACCGGCTCAAGGGGAATACCATACCTGAGATTCGAACCCACAAACTCATGGAAAATGGATTGTCATTAACCATTAGGCTGGGAACTCCTCCGCCCACACAATTTTGGATTAGTGCAATTAATTAAGATTAAATTAAAAGAACTAAAACCCTAATGACAAGTCATGTTAGAACGTTTATCACGCACAGCCGACCTCTGAATGGAGTGACGACAAAGGAATCATCATAATATATTATTATCCTATGATTTCTGAAACACTCGTCGTGCGATTATGATCTGTGAGTTTTCTTTCACAATTTCGCTACATGATAATATTAAGATCATAATATAATAACAATATATTACACATCTATGGCTTGACTTGGATGCAGCATAAACTAAGATCATATATATATATATATATATATATATATTGTAGAAGTAGGGTATGATCTATAATGTAAAATATTATCAGTAGTTGGATTATGAGTTTACACGAACTGAAACGCGACTAAACGAGTGACAGAGACGACGGCTCTAGAAGTAGCCATGTCGAGCCACTGATTGTGGAAATTATTTATTATTTATTTCCTTTTTTATTTTTCTAACAAAATTACTGATATATACCCTATATATATATATATATATATATATATATATTAATTTGCAACAGGCCCTACAGTAATACATACACTGATACACACACACATTTGTATATAAAGGGGCCAATACCACCATCACCGAGATTCCAAAGGAAAAAAAATCGAAAAACCTCTTCTTCCAGAACTTGAAACAGCAGAATTTCCATCAAGACTGATCCAAACGAGAGCCCCAAATATTCAAAAACTTCAATCCATGTCGGAAAGAGGAGAATATTCTCCTCCGGCGGCTATTCCGGCGATGTCGGCCGTCCCTCTTAGCTGCATCAGCGAACTCGCAGCGATGACCGTGAAGAAGAAGAAGTGCAATAACCAGAAGAGATTCAGCGATGAACAGATCAAGTCATTGGAGCTCATGTTCGAGACAGAGACGAGGCTTGAACCCAGGAAGAAGGTTCAACTGGCCCGAGAACTCGGGTTGCAGCCGAGGCAGGTGGCTATATGGTTCCAGAACAAGAGGGCGCGTTGGAAATCCAAGCAGCTCGAGAAGGAGTACAACATTCTCAAAGCTAATTACAACAACTTGGCTTCCCAGTGCGAAGCTCTGAAGAAAGAAAAGCAGGCTTTGGCTTCTGAGGTGTGTGAAGGTTTATCTTGTTATTTGGATTATAATTACAGAGAATAGATTTCTGATGAAGCTTTGATCCATGTCCAGTTGCAGAGGCTGAACGAGCTGATGCAGAAATCGCAGGAGGAAGTGCAGTGTTGTGGGCAAGGCGCGGCTCTAAGCAGCACGGATCATGAGTCGGATAACGGCGAGAACGCGAGGTGTGAACCTGAAGTGAAGCATGAGAACGGACCATGGGCTTTGTCCGACGACGACAACAACATCAAGGCAGAGTATTTCGGGCTCGATGAAGATCCAGACCTTATGGGCATCGTGGAACCAGCTGATAGTTGCTTAACCTCATCCGACGACTGGGGAGGGTTCAAGTCTGATGCCCTTTTGGACCAATCGAGCAGCAGCTATCCATGGTGGGATTTCTGGTCCTGAAAGTTGAAAAAACAGATGCATATGAAGAATGATTCGGCGGGCTATGAGGATCGGAACGTTTCTAAAGCATTATAAACAATATCAGAAGGATTGAGCAGAATATAGAGACGTTCCACAGACTCTGTTCGCTATCCAGCAAATGGGTTTGTCGCTCGCACGACTTTACAGGGATTTAGAGCTGAAAAATGTTACCAACAAAGCAGTCAACACTTTGCGTTTGTGTATAAACTCTCTCTCTCTCTCTCTCTCTCTCTCTCTCTCTCTCTCTCTCTCTCTCAATCCTGCTTATGTGCTCTAGTGTTGTATACATTTCACATGTTGTAGCTAAATCAGACTAATAAAAATTAAGGGGCGGAGTGATAGAACACGAGATATGGACTGAAACTAACTGACCTTCGAAGAATCTTACAGAGTGTGGGAACACATTCTTTAGGGCATATGATGAACTGGGTTAAGATCCACCCGACAGAAAGAGACATGGATATGGGATCTGAGTACTGAAACTGAAACCAGCAATGGCGGCGGTAGGGATACGAGAAGAAAGGCGAAGGCATGGAACCCTGAAATCTCCCGTAATCCTTCAGAACAAACTCCAACAGTACAATTGAAACGCAGATGTAATTAAAAAAAAAAGAACAAAACAAGATTATGTCCTCAAAAGTGTTTTCCCGGGGAAACAAACAGGTAACAGCAGATTCAAGAGATGGGAAAACGGAAGTGATTCCTTACTCGTCGGTCGATCGATTCATGGCGTTCAAAGATCTTCCACGAAGATCCCGCCGTAAGAACTTAGGTCTCCGGAACTGAAATCTTCTCCAAGGTCAAGGCTTTCTCCACATTTTCAGTCAAATGGTGGATCTTTCAATTTTCTGTATACATGGCTTCGTGATCGGGTTTTTTACCCAAATAACCCACACTTAGGTCGCATCTATTTCACCTGTACACCACCGAAAACATAACACATTTTTTTTTTCTTGTGAAAAAACGAAATTACCTTTAATGAATTACGATATTTATCCGTTCGAAAACAACTTCGTTATTACGAATTCGTAATTAAATCTAAATATAGTTACAATTGATTCTAAAAAAGGTGTAAAAAAAATCATGTCTTATTTTAGTTGTATATTAGTTATATGTTAGTCGTAATAAAGTCGCAAAAAATTAAACGAAAAGGGTATTTCGGACTTTTCCAACCGAAAAGTGGATTAAAATTGAAAAAAAAAAAATTTCTTTTTCGGTGGTGTACACTGAAATAGATGCGACCCAAATGGGTTATTTGGGTGATTTTCCCTTCGTGATCTCGTTTTCTCCGAAATCTCCATTGCAAGCCTCGTCTGGTTCTTGTCCTACGACGCCGTTTTGATCCATTGTGTGAACATACACTACTAAAGCCCATTCGAATCTTTAGCCCAATGGAGTTTACTTTAGGCCCATTTCCTTAATAAACGATTATTAGGCCTTGTATGCGTCGATCCACGTGAATTCATCTTATTCGGAGTTCGATCTTTATAGAAATTGCAATGATTAACGATCAATATAGAAATTGCAATGATTAACGATCAATATAGCAATTGATGGGATGTGGACAAGGTCTTGTGGCAAATTTAAATTTTTAAAGAAATAATATTTCTTTTTCCGGCTAGACTTCTTCCCTTGGCCATGCATGCAGAGAGGAAAATATTCTCTTTTCCATATACAAAAATTAGCATAAAGTCATAAATAAAAATGTGGACGCAATAGAGATATATACACACACACATGCGATCTTTATTGGTAAGATTCGTTTCTATAAAGCGGGTTATTGTATCCTCTAAATCTAGCTCAAACTTAGACCCTTTAACAAGGACTTAAAATTCCATTTATTTAATTAATTGGATCTCATATATATATATATATAGAGAGAGAGAGAGAGAGAGAGAGAATGGGAGAGGGAATAGATGCTAAGTTCATGCTTGGAGAATTTAAGGTGAGACACACAGATATATATATGCAAACGCAAGTGGAGGGTGTGTGACTGTTAAGACACTTCTATCAGAATCAAATCTTCGCAGCTACAAAAAGAGATTGAATATATATATGTGTATATATATATATATATATGAACTTTAAAGAAATCAAATTCATTATGTGGCTTTTTTTCTATAAAAAAAATAGAGAATGGGAATCCTGGTACGTCTCAAAATTTTATTTATTGTCATGATTATCATTAGTACTATATAAGAACAAGTTTTGAATCTAGTAATAGTATGATTCATGTAACACATTGAAAAAAACGAACGACATCGGAGATGCCATGCATGCCCATGAGAATATCAATCATATTACATTTCCCCATATCGTACGAAAGATCCCTTTTTTTTCTCTTCTAGTAAAGTTTAATAAGTGGAAACAAAGCTGTTAGATTCCTTCTTTCTCCTATTTAATACAAGTCTTAACATTATATAAATGTATATTCGCGTTTCCATGAAAATAACAGGTTGTGACATATCCTACCTACTCTTTCATTAGATCTTCCTTCTTTGGTAAAACTCAAGCATGAATTTATATATATATATATATATATAACCTAATTTGGATAATTCAACCGGTGAAATTGGAACGTAAAGCATCTGTTCCGTCCCTAGTTCGAACTTTAAGTTGGGAAGAGAAACGTAATTTCAATCACATAGCTTACTTCCGTCTCTATGATTAGTTTGGGTCTCGGTCCATTACACCAAGTTATCCAATTGACTATCGCCTATGGTGTTGAGAAGTTGACCATGCACATGAAAAGAAGAAGTAACTGTCACATAATGCTTTGAGAAAATTGTAGCTCATTCTCAACTTTGTTCCAATTCACACGTTTCATATAAAAGATCATAAATTCACTTCCACCATATCATTAGGTACGTCTAATATTTTCAAAACAACTCATTCATTTGAAAGATATGGGTGTCCATTATTCAGCCAATACTTGGACACGTCGATTATAAAAATATCACACAAAAAAAAAATAATATAACAAGAGAATCATTAGATATTAATCAAAATTAATAGGATTGAGTTTGTGTTGCTAGTTTCATTATAAATCGAATCAAATATATTTAGCCATTCTCTTTTTCTAGGATACGAATTTCTCCTACTACGCGTTAATTAATAAATTGATACGAGATCAAGAGTTATCTACATTAACAATTAACATTATTTTAGCTTATTTAGTGGAAGATCAATATTCTCTAAATCTCGACGTAATGCTCCAAATATTTTATAAATATTATAAATTTTAGTAGCCATCAATATTTTAATTTGATTCACTCAAAAGTATACTGTAGTGGCGACAGAAGTATGAATGTGATCCGTACATATATCTGAACAAGAGTTGAGGTAGACTTCAAAAATATATATTCTCTGGTAGTACGTATAAACATTTCGAGAGGAAAAAAAAAGATTTAAAAAGGGGCGACATAATTTTGCAATTATTACAGAATATTTTGACATATAATCACGAAAAGTTAGATTGAGAACGATTTTGATTTTCTGAAAGTAGATATATATACACTACAGATACACGTAATACTCCTGTTAAAAAGGATATATACATACATATATATAGCATCTCGAAAAAATAAATTATATGCAAACAATGAGGTAGGCATTGGTCATATGTTGTTTTTTTTGAAATATAACCTGACATGTGTAAAAAAATATATAGCATTTATAACTGAATGTGACTTTTTGGGTGGAAATTTTAACCTTAATAGTTAATAGATAAGAATAACTAACAAATAATACAAAATTTTAAAAACACATATAGAGGCCTACTAGTAGATGTAATGCATCTGCCTATGTAGTGCATGAGAAGATGCACTCCCACAAATTTGGCTGTCTAGATATGTTTCCTTGATAAATTGTGTGTGTAACTATATATATATATATATATATATATATATATATTATGTGTGTGTCAAAATTTTAAGATATTTGTTCACCTTTGACATTAATTCTTGAAAGAAAAAAATATATATGGTAATTCGTTCTCTATATATTAATATTAGTTGGAATATATATTTTTTTGTATCAAAATTAAGAAAATAGAACCATACCGAACCGGTTAACTATATTTCGGTTCAATTCGATATTATATAAAAAAAATTGTACCGTAGCAGATCAAACCGAATAACATACTGTACTAATTTGATATAAATTTTATAATATCGAATAAACTGTTTCCAAATCAAATCATTAAAATTCTGAAAGAAATTCTTACTCCTGATAATGCTCATCATCGTCACTCCAATTCCATTAATTATAAAATAATATTTCCTGAATTTAACAATTTTGTGACGTTAAAAGGGGAACAAAAAAAAACAAAAGATATGGTATAATATGTTTATAAAATGGTCGGGTTCCTCTTGGTCGCGTAAATACCATATCTAATCTAATTGAGGATTCGATATCTCCAAGGTTATTCCCTGCAAATGGTTAGAAATCCATTGGCGTTGATGAATCCATACAAAGTTTTCATGAAATTTATAAAGTACAATGCTATGTACCTATGACGACAGTCCACTTCACAATATAAAGGAGTAGTTTAATTAGTCTTCGAAGACATAGTTTAATCACTCCCTAATCATGATTATGGAATTAGATCACGAACGGACAAAGGAGTCCATGCGATTTCCTTAGATATAATCACCTTCGTAAAAGTGGATCATTTTTACATAAAATTAAATTGTTTTATTTAATATTTTAATTACAAGCTTTCAGCTGAATAGATCGAGCTGGGACCCACCCCAAATTGGACACCACTTGGGTTATAAAGTCCAAAAATATTCAGAAATCTCTTTAATGTTTAAACATAAATTCCAAAAACTATTATATGGGCGATGGCATCTCTTCGTGTACTTTCACACATCCACATATATGCATATATGTATAGTGAGAGTGGGCTATGGCGTAATAGTCTTTCATCCATATACATATGTGTATATATATATATGCTTAAACATGTTTTTGTATTAATATATGGTAAAGTTACATAATATTTCCTCATCAAATTGAAAATCAAACATGACAGCAACATAACGACGAATTGGAGTATACATATTGCTCGGCTGCTCACTTTGCCCCTTCTAAAAGGGCAATTACAAACATGAATGATACATACCGAATGTCCGTACATAGATTGTATATATCGATGTCGATTTTGTCTAATATGAAATCAATTTACGGTTGAAAATAAATTCCTTAATTTTGATCATGAAAAATGACGTTTTCTACCGGCTGTAAAGATCAACGGTCAGGCACTTCTCATCATGCGAGACAAGAAACTCTGGCCGTCGATGGACCAGATAGATTAGCTTTGTGTTCACGCAGATCATGTGGGCTGTCTGATCTATAACTGAAATGACAATTATATCCTTCATTTAAACATCACACTCGGTTTCACCGGTGGATATTGTCGTAACTCTACACACATTATGAACACGCCACGTGGCAAACATTTGTTAGAGACGAACACGTGGCAGGCGTTTTTTGATCCGTCGGATACAAAATAGATCAACGGATATGAAATAACTGGTACAGACTACTAGTGTGTACACGACCGCATCTTAGCCGACAACATAAACGCAAACACACATCTGTCCGAGGAGAATGTCTTCCCCACGAGGGGGGGGTCAATCCCTGGCTGAAGCCCTTGCCTAAAGGTCAATTTATTTTATGTTTAATTAGCATATAATCATATTACTATTTTTCAAATAATTTCGTATAAATATCTAGTATCCAATTAATATATCATTTGTTTAATATCCCATATATGCAGATAAGCAAAATACCTCGAATGTTCTATCACCATAAATATTCTATTACGAATCTTTCTACACACGGAAGAATATTCTAATTAATTTCAAGATCGCACATTATAGTATTTACATATTGTCGGGAGTAATATGCGGAGGAAAATACCGGTATTTAAATATTACAAGAATGTTGTTATATATATATATATAATTTTATTATTTACTAATCTTGATTGTCCCGTTTTTTTTTTAATAATTCCTACAAAGTTCAGCAGACAACGAATTGACATTTTCTTGTTAATTATATATTTTAAACTTAATTTACCAGTTCCGGCACTGGAAATTTTAATTGTTGTGATGGGGACGTTGTCGAAATGTAACTTAATTTACATTCGTTTTCTATAAATATTATATATATATATATATATAACGACAGCTCATTTACTCTAAAATTAGAAACTATATTCAGAAGCAAAATAATAACGTTGCCAGCCATTTGGTTCATTCTTTTTTTTAAGAGTATGCTATAATGTAAGATGTGATGTATTATTGTTTAGCCGACAACTTCCTGTTTTTTTTTTTCAGAAGGTGGCTCACTAAGATTTTTACGGTTAAATATGTTAGATAAAGAATAATGTAAAAGTCAATAAACCAATGAGAAAGAAATACAAATACTCAAATAAAATCACAACTGAAAAGAATAATATATGTTGGAAATGTGTGATGCGAAATATAAAACTATTCAGCAGTTTTGTATAAAAATAGACAAACAATATAAGAGTCGAATAATTGAAAGGATAAATTAAATCAAATATTAATATCTGATAAAGTATTGCAAAAGACATCGTGTAAAAGGATTATTAGTAAAATATAATTTTTTTGGTTGTTTAAAATATGATAATTTTCAAGATATTTCCGTCTATTTACGTAAAAGAATAACTAAGTTTATTTTTCTATAAATATTTTTAAAGATTATTTTAACTCATTTATCCTTATCTAAATTACTTAAATCCGTATTTTTATTTTGTGATTTTCACAAACTATCTAAAAAGCAAAAGAGGGGAGAAGATAAGACGCACATAAACAAGCAATTGGAAAGGTTGATAATTGCTCCCACGTCTGAAATTTTAATACGGAAGAAATTGAAGATCGTTTAGTCCAAAGTCCAATTTTTATTTTTTTTCCAAGAACAAAGATAACCCCGGATATCGGGTACATAAATGTTATAAAATTTATTCTGAAATTGACTTTTTTATTTTTAATCGAATACAAATTTTCAAAGCCATTTAGTTTTAAATTTTATTTCTACAACTCGAAATATGAATTTCATGAGTTTTACTAAATTATCAAGACGCGTAGTGAGATATAACCTCCAAACACATATATTTTTGCAAAAAAAAAAACGACAATGAAAAAAATAAATATAAACTTGTGACTCTATGCATTTTTATGAAAAAAATATATTTTTTGAAAGAAACGAATGTTGTTTAAAAATAATTTTGGTAAGATTCAAGGAAACTTTAAACCGGCGATATGAATGAGACGTTCTTGTTGAGATCGACTCCCCTTGGAAAATTTTTAATTTAGACTTCGTTTACCGGAATCATTACTTTATCAATGTATATATATTTATTATTTTAAAATGTAAAATGTACCAAATTGAGTAATAATTTTTTTTAGCAAGCATTTGGAAATTGGACAGGTGGGCCCGACAAAAATATGATGCCACGCGAAGATCCAAGGAGATTCGAGAGTGAACCTCACGCGCCCATTCATTCCTTGAGTTCACCACCGCCTTCGCGCCTCGCGCATGGCGGCGCTCAACCGTTAAATCCCATCCGTGGCAATGTAACGTAACTGAATCGGCTAGTAATTATTTATAGTTAATTATTAACCGTTATACCATTTTTACTATTGATTCAATTAATAATCGGTTATTAATGGATATATGATTATGGAGAGAAGGATCAATACGTTACGTTTAGGAGTAACCATAAATGATATCAAATATAATATCAATTCAATGTGACACGTATGTTGATTGTTTATATGTCATAGAAAAACAAATGTAAAATAGATTATATCAAATTAATAAAAATAAATAAAAATGACCAAATTGAAAGCCTCATAATATACTATTATCATCTACATCGATACATATTGCTTGTCCTACTATTTACTTATAGTCTTATATATAAAGAATATTCATTTAAATAACCATAAAATATTAATATAGTTAACAAATTTTATATTTTTCAGAATTTTATTTGCAATGGTGATTTTCTCAAAATGTTATCATTTTAATCACCATAGTTTCACATCACTATTTTGTCCAAATATGTACAAATCATCTTTTGTATAGTGGTTCAACTTTTGTTTTCTTTTTTATCCATTTCCAAGGCCGAAAGCAAAATCATTAGTCGATAAATCTAAGCAAAGAAATGCCAATTATCTCATCGAGCGACTGAATATTTGACGATAATTTACGATCAATCAATTGCAAATTACAAAATTAGTATCAATATAATGGGGAAAACTAACTACTGTTTTAAAGGTAACAAATTTCATGCGTGCAAATATGCATTTTAAGTAAATATAATTTTACAAAAACAGTTACAAAGATACATTTGAACTCGTACTACTAGCTAAAAGAGATCAAGTAAGACTATAAAATTAAATTAGCTCATCAAAATTTTAAAAGCAGACGAAAAAAGGACAACCAATTAAAGAATTATTTTATTTACACACAAAAAGATATATCAATTGTTTGAAATAATTAATAAATAACAAAGCGGGTGTTCGGATTATCTATATAAATACCCAACGCATCCCTTCATCTTAAGCCCCACAGCCCAAAAGCCACTCTCCTTTTCCTCCTCTCTGCTTTCCTCTCTCTCTCTCTCTCTCTCACTTCCTTCATTTCCGCCATGGCCACAGAGCTCGATTACACAAGTTTGATCTTCGTTCTCTTCTCCAAATGCAGTGTCCTAACCCAAACCCACGTCGCTTTCTCTCTCCTCATTGCCGTCGCCGCCTCTTTCGCCGTCTCTCTGTTCTACTGGGCCCACCCCGGAGGTCCCGCGTGGGGAAAATACGGCCGAGTCCGTGGCCGAGCCATGATCCCTGGCCCACGAGGCATCCCTCTAGTCGGTAGCATGTCCCTCATGACGAGCACCATCGCGCACCGCCGCATCGCCGCGGCGGCGGAGCGGTTCGAGGCTAAGCGGCTCATGGCCTTCAGCTTAGGTGACACTCGCGTGATCGTCACGTGCGATCCGGATGTGGCCAAGGAGATATTGAACAGCCCGGTTTTCGCGGACCGGCCGGTTAAGGAATCAGCGTACTCTCTTATGTTTAACCGGGCGATCGGGTTCGCTCCTCACGGCGTGTACTGGAGAACCCTGCGTCGGATTGCGTCGAACCATCTGTTCAGCCCGAAACAGATCAGACGCGCCGAGACGCAGCGGCGCGTGATCGCGGCCCAGATGGTGGAGTCGCTGGCCGAGAAACAGAGAAAAGGACTCTGTTTCGTGCGTGAGCTGCTCAAAACGGCGTCGCTTAACAACATGATGTGTTCTGTGTTCGGGAAAGAG